AGTTCGAAACGTTGCTGTTTAATTTACTGATCCTGGGTGAACTGACTGATGATTGTGGACGCGTTTGGAGAAGGAATTCACACGACTTGTATATCCTGGAAATCACCAATCCTACTTCAATAGTAAGAATTCTTTCCCGTGTACACGACTGAAGGAAAATATATCTACTAATATGCTTTTAAAGAATATCGCTTCATAACTGTCTTATTTTATTAATCTTTTTTATAATAAGAGGCCAAACGAGTCATCTGAAGCATGCAGGTTTGATGAGCTCCTCCCTCAAATAAGATGTAGTCTTCCAAAAGACACTCTTTTCTCCCTGAGAAGAAAAAGCACAGGTATGATTTTATTAAATTTGGCTAACAAAATATTGATTTGAGTTATTTTTAAAACAAAATTCATCATGTTACTACTTTCTGGTTGGTAGCAACAAAGCCATCTTACAGTCTCACTGTGAAATTGTAATTAAAAATCTGTAGTATTACGTATGTAGTGCTAATCTGGAACATAAGAAAAATAAGAAAATTTTCATCCTTTGTCCTTAAAGCAAGGACTTCGTAGAAAGCGTTTCGTGGATTTCGTGCTTAAGTCAGTTTACTTGTAATTACCCTTTGCAACATGATTGGAATTCCCTGTACTCGCCTTGACAAATCGTCAACTAACTCACTTCGAGCACAGTCCTTACTATTTCCACACGTCATGACATCCTCAAAACGTATATTTTTTTAGCAGCAAAAGAAACAAATCGCCCATCGTTTGATGAGAAAGAATTAGAGAGCGACGAAGTTCAGCGCGTGTGGCAGTATCTTCAGCTGATCAAGGAGGAACCTGAACTTATCCAGCAGTTTTACTATGACCCGAACGTTAAACGCACGAGTCCGGCCGAATGTCTTAAAACATTAATCAGGTTTGTAGCCTGTTCCGTGGGAAAGACAGCAGTTGTCCTAGAGAAAAGCAAGCGTTCAAACCTTGAATCACTTTCGTCCCCGTTTTTTCATCTCGGTACAGTCAAACCTATATTTAGCTGGGTTCTGTTAAAGGATCAGCTATCCTTAAGCAGTTGCCCTTCAGATTCTCGTAATTGGCTCCCATGTTTACAGAACAATCAAACCTGTTTTAAGCGGTCAAATAACGATTTAGCGAATTGATTGGTTCACGCTGGTCACATTACGCAGTAGACGTTTAAGCAAGTCGTCATCTGGTTTTTTTCGTGGGGTTGGTTCGACCGTACACTCGTACAAACAAAGATACGGACGGAAATCAGAGCAAAAAAGTGGCCGAACCATTCAACGCTTTGATAGGATTAATTAGGTCTTCAATGCTTGACTCTTTGTGTGACGAATTCTTAACTGAAACAGTTAAAAAGAACATTTGAATTTGATGGATTTATTTCTTTGTCTTTCGCGCGCTTAGTGCGATCAATACTTTTCTTCTTCGATTCAGGGTGTATTGTCCACACTAAAAGCACAAATACTAGTAATAATATCAGAGAATAATGGAATGATGAATCTCAAATTCGATGAAGTGACTTACGACGCGCGAGTAAATTTTGCTCATGGTAATACGCTGTTCGCAAAATATCCTTAAATAAAGTGCATCTAGCGTTAACTCTCTCGTTGCTCGACAGAAGCGTTTCGGAGACCAACCAGGAGAAACCCATTAAAAAAAAAACATTTGCTTAACTATGTATGGTTCTCTTAGATCTTTAAGTTTGCAATTTGTAGGTTGTTCCCCTTTTATTATTGAACCTAGCTCTTTGTGTGAATACTCATTCCGTGTTCGCTTTCGCCAGGAACTGTGGAGTTAAGAACCCGTCATGGTCTGAACTTCGATATTTTGTGAACTTTTTGAACTACCAGCTCAGGGATTGCGAGGAAAGTACGTTCTGTAACACCTCATTGGTAGAGGATACCTTAGAAGGATTCCGGAAATTTGTGGTTAACTTCATGATAATAATGTCAAAGGTTTGTGATAAAAAAATTAGCATTCAAAACAGTGATTGATTTCCAAGATTTCAAGAGTCCTGTAATTGTCAATCCACTTCAATCTCCTCATTCTGTAGTCATTTTGCTTCTTCTTATATTACCGACAACAGTCCTTCTCAGGACTAAACTCACCCGGACGATCAAACAACACTTTTACATTATTTTTCCTTTTGCATTATTCCCTCTTGGAAAACTATTTGTTTGAAGTCGTCCTCTGGCTCATATAAATGATATGACAAAATTCCATGGATGCTACTTATTATGAAACTATGTTTCTCTCTGTCAGGATTTCTCAATGCGATCTTTAACTGACATAGACACCAGTCAGACTCACGGGGCATCGGCCGATTCAAAGGAAGGGGACGACATTGTTCCCTTCCGGCTTCGGAGACGTTGGGAGGAGACGTAATACTTGTTCATACGTTTTGATCTCGCCATTTTGACTTTGCTTGATTTTGTAAGGCTAACATTTGGCACGAGAATACAAATATTCCTTCATTCTTTTTTTTTTTTTTAATTTATTTATTTTAGGCCTCATCCATATATCTTTTTTAACCCGGATCATGATACCATGACTTTCCTCGGATTCCGTGTTGATCAAGAGGGAAATCTTCTAGATCCGCAGACTCGGAAAATCATTCAAGAAGGGATCATGACAAGACATCTTCGCACGGGACTTTATGTACAGAAAGTGGATTTGGAAAACAGCTTTGAGTCCTATTCAAAGTAGGTATCAAGTAACGACTGCTGAATGAAATAGTTGAATCAGTTATTGAGAGTATGTCTTGCCTCCGTTCGCAACTACAAAGGTAGGGGTGGGGGGCGGGAGGGGGTCGAAAGAGACTCGTTGGCTTTGTGATTAGCGTGATGGAGAAGGGGTTGAGAGGTTCCGGTCCGAACTCTATCTGAGTCTATGCATTGCTTCTCTCATTGCCTCTTTCTACCCTAGAGAACAAATGAGTATCAAAGAATTGTGCAAAAGTGAAAAAGCAGTTGCTAAGAAGCTACCTAGAGTAGACTAGCATTCTGATGTGGGGGTGAAGCGATAATCCCAAATGTCTCCAGTTAGGAAAACTAGCGGAAACTTCACTGCATTCGTGATGTCCGTTGAGTTTTTCAGTCCTAACGATCTTCACCTGTAAAAGTAAATTAAAATTAGGAAAATTTTATTTGTTTAAAGAAAAAATAATTTCTTTTCGTCACATGGCTGATGTGAGACAATACACCTGGTTGTATGGTGTTTCGTCAAATTTTTGTTTGTTTACGCAAACTTTAAAATTGTGTTTCAGGTTTCAAAAAATCGAGCTGCTGTGCGCTGTCATGGGTATCAACTACGGACATGATCCTGATGACTCTTACGAGCTGACGGGTGATAATGTTAAGAAAATTCTTGCCATCTATATGAGGTTCAGATGTAACATTCCAGTCATAATCATGGGTGAGACAGGATGTGGAAAAACAAAACTTATTCGATATTTGTGCGGACTGCAAACAGAGGGAGTAAGGCAAAGAAACATGCTGTTAATGAAGGTGAAACTAAACTTCTATTCTCGATTCAGTGTAGTTATTAGGCAACTTTCGGAGATTTGTGTTGATATTACTGCCGGCATCTTGGAACACTAAAGTTAAGAGTACTGTTAGTAACACTGTCTTTGTGAATCTGTTTCTGTGTGTGGCATTGTACTCTCGTCAGGAAAATGAAGCAATAAAATGAAGTAGTTCTCGCAGAAACTTCCTGAACGAGTAAACCAAGAATACCAAATTTTTCGGCGACATGATACAGAGACATAGAAATTTGTTCAGGGTTATCTTTTTCTAAGCTTTAGACAGTGTAGTTGAAGCGGGGGACAGAAGACGGGGTATTTAGACAGTTGGATCTGTGTTGAGGAGAAAACCTTCTTCCTACTCTCTTGCTCTGGTTGCGGTTGGTTTCATGCCTCCGCTAGCCTCATTGGTTATTCAAGCACCCATTACTGTAATATTATTTTTCAGAGGATGTTTTACTGGTAAGCTGAGCATGGAAGAGTACAAATTAGAATTTAATGGTTTTTGTTGTCCCCTTAGTTACATATTTTACGGCAAAGAAGCGCAGTAACAGAAAGATGAGGAGAAACCCAGCAGTAACACTTTCAAAGCTTCCTTGAGAAATTTAACCGTGACCCTGAAAAGTTGCAATGTCCTTACAACATAACCTTATGTTTGTCATCGTTTTCGCTTTCTTTAGATCCATGGCGGTACCACTTACAAAGACATAGAAAAAAATGTCCTTCAAGCCGAGGCAATGGCTATTAATAACAAACATGAAGGCACAAATATCGACACCGTTTTGTTTTTTGATGAGGCAAATACCACCGAAGCTTTAGGGATGATTAAAGAGATTATGGTGGACCGGAGATGTAATGGTCGGCCCCTAAGTGACAGTTTGAAATTCATCGTGGCTTGCAATCCATATCGAAAGTAAGTCTTGTCTTTACAATGTAAAATTGGTGATTATGAAGTAAAATGTAATATAGGGCAAACGTCGTGGGGAAAACAGTTATTAAGCAACTCAAGGGAAGGAAGCGGTTAGCAGTCTGGATGGCATTGTGTTCCAAGGCCAAACACTGCTCTCCAGCAGAAAACAACAGAGGATAAACAAGGTATTCTATTAAACAGGTAGTACGAACAAGTAATGTAATTCAAGTTTGGCACTTACTGTGTCTCGTGAGTGCCATTCTGAATGAAATTAAAAGCTGTTATTCCTATACTTTGGATCTGGATCCGTAGTGATAACTTTGGATTCGCAGTTGTAACTTTGGATTCTCAGTTATGACTTTTACACCAATATCCAATATATTTAGTTAGAATGTCCCTTTTAGGCCTCCATAAGCAGCTTAAGCGTGACTGACTGCACTAAGGGTTTCCGGCTTATTTACTGTCAATGCCGTGGTCGTTAATTTTCAACTAGCCACAAAATACGATCACTAAGTTACCATGACGTAAGTTAGTTGCCTATTGCATCATATAAACCAACACCAAAACCTTATTTAGAAAAATTTTTGGCAGGCACACGGACGAAATGATACAGAAACTAGAATCCGCAGGATTGGGCTATCATGTAACAGCTGAGGAAACTGCTGAACGCCTCGGTAAGAATGAGAGATTCCGTGTGAAAGACATCAAGAAAATAACCTGGTCTGATTTTTTCTTCTACGGTTACTTTTCTATCATATAGGTAAAATCCCACTGCGTCAGCTTGTTTATCGTGTTCATGCAATACCAGAGAGCATGTGTAGTCTAGTCTGGGATTTTGGACAGTTGAATCCGGAAGTAGAAGAGCTTTATACCCAACAGATTGTGAGGAGATATGTAAGTAGATGTCATTGTAGAGCGGGTAAAATCCGGCAGTGTATCCCAAAAATTTCAAATGAAAAAACACGCTTTCCGATAAACAAAAATGACAAACAAAATACCCAGTGCCCAAATCATAAAAAGGTTTATAGTTAACAAGGCCAAAATACGTGTGAACTGGATTTGATTAAGCTTGATAAAAATTCGATTACTAACTCTGACTTGATAGATGAGGAGTCATACTCACGCGTATTTTGATGATTGCTTTTAGTTTCACGGGAGTAATATCCTCTGTTTCTCTTGTCTCATCGCAACTTTCGAAGAATTTCTTGAAGATCTTTAGATCAGACAGCGTTTTCTTTTTGGCGTCCCCGTTCCCTTTCCTTCGGAAAATGCATTTACATCTTCGCCGCTTACCACAGCAAATCTAGCGGCGGCCAGTACTCTAAACAACGAAAATATCAAGATCATTCAGCAAAGTTTGAAAATGTTGGAATCGTAATGTTGTTACTCAATGTGACCAATGTTGTTGCATACTATAAATGCGCCACCCGGTTCCCGGATGTAGTGGTCATATTGATTCTACGAGTGCTTTAGTTCCCAGCAAAACTCTGCTGTCTATATAATTATTTACATTATCTTTATGACCCCTAAGAATGACTAGCATCTAATTTCTCCATAAAATGTCAACCCTGAATCATACACTGAGGTCACTTGATGAAAGGAAATGGCCATTAACTTAAGAAGCTCTTGATTGTTTGACGAATTCTCCGCTTTGTCAACGCCTTAGGATATATGTCTAGGGGGTAGTATGGAGAATATGCATACTAATGTTGGGATCTAGAGGATTATTTTTAGCGCTAAATAGAGTTATGTGCAATGATGATTCTTCATTCGCTCGCACGTTATTGGTCTAAACCTCAACAAGAGACCTAAGATGCTTAAGCCAAAATTATAACTGAAAACCGTAAAGGGCGGCTGGTATATCGGCTGATAATGTCCGCGGCTGAAAGATTGTCCTAAAAATGAAAAGTTACCCTGAAAGCAAAACTTTGAGGGCAAATGCCAAATTTCAAGGAAACATTTTTCAGCGGGAAAAAAACGAGAGGAAATACATAAACTACCGGTTAAAGCGCTTAATTCAGTAGAGCCCCAGCTAATTTCTATTAATAACACTTCAATTTTGTGCGAAATCATAATCTATTTCAGGTTGCTCAAGGTCGTCTACCCGGAGATGAAAACTTAGTCAGTGCCATAGCAAGTGTTTTAGCAGCTTCCCAGAGATTCATGAGAGAGAAAAAGGTGTTTTGCTAATTGAACAGTAGCAAATTATCACCCTTGTTCAATAAAAATGAGTATTTTATTGACCTGATCTTTTAGTTTCGCTGTTATTTTTTTAGAGCCTGCTATCAAATTTCTGGTAGGTTTGTTGGTATCCTGTCTATTTTTGAGCAAAGTCTTTTTATTTAAACTCGTTTCGATAGGAAATTGGTGTAACATAATGAAATATGTAGTACAGTTGATGACATCGTATTTTAATGGATTTTCCCTAATATTCTTGAAGAAAATGGCGCTTTGTTGTAGCCTGAATACGAAAATATCCTTATCGTTTCTTACAAAATGGTTTAAAATTTCCATTTTCAGGATGAATGCAGCTTCGTTAGCTTACGTGACGTCAAAAGAGCCATGGAGGTCATGCTGTGGTTTCACGAACACTTCCAGCACTTTTCTTCTTTGATGCAAGAGAAGGAAAGTGACAATGAAGACGATGGCGAGAATGAAGACGAAACCGAATTTCATGTGCTGCAACCCAATCTGAAAGAAGAACCACCCGCTTCTGTTGACGAGCTATCCGTACTGAAAGAAGAAGAACATGCAAGTTTCAAAGTGGAAAGGCGAAAGCTTATCGATTACTCGGGCAGGTTTAATCCTCTCAAAGAAGAGGTTACCGTCAAAAGAGAAATAGACGAGGGATCAACCTGGTTCAAGTCCATTTTAAAGCGGATCCCCCATGCTGCTCCTAGAAAAGAACGGGTTATTCTTCCAGAAGAAACTCACACAGATTCAAAGCCTCCTCGATTCGATCTATCTAATACGCTCGAGCTTGAAGAATCTTATAGCGGACTGTTCCTAGAAGAAAACGTAATTCACACTTTTACTAAAGACTATTTTTAATTCTTGTGAAGACACTTTATGTTTCAATATTGTTAATTACCAAGCGCATGAACCTCCTTTTGCTATTATGTGTACTTTTAATCTCATACGAAAAACATTTTCTTTATGAACCTCACAATCGACTATTGAGTAATATTAGGGCCGCGATCAACTCAAGCGCAGGCGTCATCACGCCTTGACATTATCAGACCTCGTCACCATGCCACCTTCCAATAAATCTTTTGATTACATGTTTGTTTTTAGACTTCAGAATACAGAACTTGCCATTGTATTAGTCAAGGAATTTAGGAGGTAGAGGTATTTTTTTGAAAGCGAGCAAATGGAGGTCTGAATGTTAATTTCATCAATGTTCACTGCGCAAAAACTAAGTCGACGTATTTTCTGTTTTTGGAAACTAGTGATCCCATTTATCATTTGTCATTATTAGGGAGATGTCAACGACAGGATTGACCCAGTAACCTGGTCTTTAATTCTTGCACTTGGTGTTTGTTACCAAGCACGGTTAACAGAAAGGGAGGAATACCGCGAGGCAATAGCAAAATCATTCCAACCACCATGCAGGCTTCCTGGTGGAGCTGAGAGAATTGAAAGAGAAATTTCTCGGTAACGTCATTACTTTGTTGACGATAGACATACATGTGTATATGTTGTTTGGAAGGGATGCTGTTTAAACTTCCTTTCAAAGATCTTTCAACTCCAGCTATGTTCTTTTTTTCTCTGAGATTCTTTCTCCTTTTACTGAAATGGTTATTTGGCTCAACAGCTACGAAAAAAGACATTTTTTGCCAGCTTGCTAGAAAGCAGGAATTTTTTCCTTTATATTGTTTCACCATTCAAGGAGACAAATTTAAAGTAAAGTGTAAGTCAATGGTAATCATTTATGTGAGTCAGTTATTTGTGATGAAGATGATGGTAAATACTGGTATCTACGTTTCCTTATGAAGATGTCAAGAAACTTTGATGGGGGAGTTAGAACTTGGACCCAACATTGCTCGCAACGAAGCCCTTAGTGAAAATGTGTTTATGATGGTGGTGTGTATTGAGCTCAGGATCCCATTATTTGTGGTTGGAAAACCGGGCAGCTCAAAATCTCTGGCTAAGACCGTCGTCGCTGATAACATGCAGGGAGCAAGATCCAGATCTGACCTTTTCAAAAAGTTTAAGCAGGTAAGACCGAAGCACAAAGTGCTAATAAAACGATAACGATAATAACAGTATACTATTGATAATAGTACTTATAATTGAAAAAAAAACCTTTAACTCTTTTGGAATTGTTTCTGTCCCTTGTAGGTTGTAACTGTGTAAATTCAGTACTATGGTATATTTCTTTGAACGCCTCGTTCGAGAATATTCGTATCTGAGAGCTTTTTATCATTTACTCAAATGAAAGAGTTTAGACACATACGAACCACGGATAACATTTTGAGATGCTATTTCGTAGTGTATAAGGTTTCTGACTATTTTCTTTTCTCTTCAAATAAATTTTTTACAAGTTAGGTTTTACAGTACATTGTAGGAACCACGGAATTTAATCAAGTGCTTCCATTTTTTATAATAGATTCAGTTGGTTTCGTACCAGTGTAGCCCTCAGTCCACCCCTGAGGGGATACTTGCAACATTTAAACAATGCAGTGAACTTCAGGAAAGTAAGAACGAGCAGACAACTTCAGACACATTTGCCTCTGTGGTAGTGCTAGATGAGGTCGGATTGGCAGAGGACTCACCAAAAATGCCCTTGAAAACTCTACATCCCCTGCTAGATGATGACCAAAACGACGAGTTTGTGATCCAGTCTGGAAAGAGTTTTACAAGAGTTGCTTTCATTGGTTTGTCCAACTGGGCGCTGGACCCAGCCAAGATGAACCGTGGGATAATGCTTTGCCGTAATGAACCTGATGGTGACGAACTGGAGGCGACTGCCAGGTAATTTTGTAAAGATTCCATGAAATTTTTGATTCACGTTTAAATTATCTATTTGATATCAAGAATGTCTAGAGTATCCCTTACATGCAAAAATTGCATTAGGTAGGCTAGCGCAGTGATGTAATGAGGTGCTCATTCAACAAGTCAAAGGAAACTTTTCTTCGTGAACCACTGCATGATAAAGCAAACGAACGGGGGTATTATGGTATGACGGAACGCCAGAGAAACTATAAATTGACCACAAAAAATCAACAATTTGCTCCAACGAGAGGCTAAAGCTCGGAATGGCAGCTTTTCTAGCCGACCCAAGGTGACTTTTATTTGATAATCAATTAATTGTTTTAATGATTAAGAAGCACATGGAAGCAGTGTAGCAAAGACATTTTTAGGCGTGGGCAATGACCGCAAATTGAATGCAACTGGAAGTTCGAAGCGGACGATAAATTTGTCGCAAGCACCAAGGAAAGCGTCAGTTTACTTCCTTTTTCCCTTCGATCGTCGAAATTTCTTTTTATAAGAAATTTGTTTTCGAGCGGAGCTAAATCAGGCTCTCTCTTAGATGTTGATAAAGAACAAGTACGCTTAAAACGACTCATATAGGGAAGGTGCATCATTTTTCAAGGTGATTTGTAGATGACGATACGGAGGATAGGAAATCTCTCTTTCAGGCCATTACCCATTTTGTTTCCAACTTATTCTGTAATCAACATGCAAGCCTACTAAATCATATTAATTTTCGAAAGACGCCTAAGGTTTACGCATCGATTAAGTTTCGTAGATTGTTAGGAAAGCAAACTGGATATAAAACATTGTTATCAAAATGTCTTATATAAGACCGTTCATCATCTTCGATTTAAGCTATATATTGATTATTGCAGGGGTATTTGTGGATGTAATGAGGACATACTGACACATATAGAACATCTTATATCCCCGTTGGTCCGTGGCTACAAAGACCTTTACGCCAAACAGAAAACATTGAAGAAACTGACAGAGGGAAAGAAAGATGAATTTTTTGGACTGCGAGATTTCTACAGGTTTGATTGTGTTGACCTGATCTGATTATGTTTTGAACTAATTTTTCGAAGAATTTCAGCTAATTGCTCATTGCTTTTGTTTTAATTCAGTCTCATTAAAATGATCGTCTGCATCGCAAAAGAGCAGCAACGCCGACCAAACTGGGAAGAGCTCGAACAGACTATTAAGAGAAACTTCAGTGGCCTTCTAGAGGAGGATTTTAACCCTGTGAGAATTCTTATGGATCATATTGGTTTTCCTGAGGAATATTTTCAGGTTAAAACACTTTTTTCTTTATTGTCTTAAATAAGAACTTCATGCTTCAAAACCGGTTTTATCGTCTCTTATCTGACACCGAAGTTCTATTTTTTAGAAATGTCTAAAAAACAGAAATACTAATTTCCGGAGGACTTGCATTAAAATTTACCGAGCAGTGAACTTTCATGTTCATCACAGATGTTTATGCCGTCGGTTTACACGGCGAAATTAGATTACGGTGGATAAGCGAAATGTCGATTTAAATCAAATACATACTGTTTTATGCCCCTTGATTTCTCAGATCACATACTTAAGATGAATTTTTAGTAAGGCTTAAACCATTTTCATTTAAATAACAGCCCAAGAGTACCTCTGATGGTAATTCGTTTGGGACACACTTCGGTGGTAATCGAGCTAATGTTAGATCTGTTTTAGAGGATATCCCAAGGATACTTCTTATGGGCCTTCGACGATCACGCACTTTAAAAACCGCAATTTACCTCATATTCGTAACCACCAAGATGATAATTGTTTCCACTTGTTACATTGTTTAAACCTCCCATAACTTACAGGATGAAGAACGTACAGAAGTTGACTCTCTAGATCTTATAAGGGCAAGCTTGAATCGGGAAAGCGTAATGGGGTAAGTCTGATACCGCTTTGTTTACAATTCTTTGGTAGAAAATAGGAGATCTTTAGACATGTATTTCCTGGAGTTTTGTCTTATTTGACAATGTGACCATGTGACCTGTTCCAATTAAGAGGTACACCTCCCGTTCAATATACTCAATTGATATCAACATCATGGATTAATCATTTCCTAGCCAATACAAGCATGTCAGATTACTATTTTAAAATCATTTGACGTACTGCCGTATGAAGAAATATACTCCTCGTTGCTTGACACGGTTTTAATTATCGTACAACGATAAAGGAGTCCTACGATACAAATAACAACCGAATTATACTAAAATACAGTCCTTATAAGCTCACAATAAAAACGATGCATATACCTAGAGATGATATGCAATGTAAGATGGCTAACTTGCAATAGTAAAGCGGTAAGTAGAGTTCCGATCCAACGTAGATAGAGAAATACATATTTCCTCGAACGTAAGAACGTAAACACAAAATGGCTGACTTCCTTGAACCGGTCAGCGGTTATGATAGTTCCTAGACCCTAGCGGCCACGTCGTCTCTTCACCGTACATGGCCCGTCAGTGCAAATCCCACCATTCTGTCTTGACCAAATACTCACATGAAATTCAAAGGCGATATCCCTTATCATTTGCTCAAAAAGGTTTGCCGTGTCTTTTTTTTTTTTTATAGAGATGGACGGTATCTGCTCATCATGACTGAGAACTTTGCAGCTTTGCCAAGAATAAAACAGCTTTTGTTGGAACAGGACGAGGAAGAACCATACGTTATATTCGGTAGTGGTTTCCCTAAAGACCAGCTATTCACACAGGTTAAATTCTGCGCTAAATGTCACTTTTACTCTCTCAGCCTGTGTATCTGTTTATTATCTGTGCCATTGCCTGTATCACCTGATCACTGCTTGTATCTCTCTCTGCCTGATGTCTGTCTCCTTCTGTCTGCTTGTCTATCTGCCTACTTGTTTAACTGTGTATCTTTCTGTCTCTTTAATGTTTCGGTTGCTTTAGCCATTTTCTTTTCTGTCGCGTTCACTCACTGATAACTGAAATGTATTGATTGACACAATCATTAGCTCAGTGCCATAACCAAAGATTGTATAACCGTAACTTCTGCAGGTTTGCCGAAACATCAACCGTGTTAAGATGTGTATGGAGACAGGCAGAACAGTAATTTTGCTCAATCTTGAAAACCTGTATGAAAGCCTCTACGACGCCTTGAATCAGGTCAGTCAAAATTGTACAATACAATGTATGACGTAACTTCTCTATAATTTGCCATGCGAATGTACCTCAGCCGCTGGTGCACCACACAGTGATACCTATACTTTTTCGTTGCCGCTAGCTTTCTTTTAAATTTGTTTTCAAACTGTTTTTTTAGTATTACGTCTCGTTTGGAGGAGAGAAGTATGTCGATCTTGGGCTAGGGAATAACCGAGTCAAATGCCGCGTTCACCGAAATTTCAGGTAATTATGTCTTGGATCTGTAATCATGACTAGTATTACGAAGAGATAAATATTATAGTCTATTTAAGATTAGCAAGCCATCATGCACTTTTGAGATTAAAGCTCCAAACTTAGAATTGAACCCATTACTTCGTGAATGTTTTGCTAAATAGGGTTACATTACTTATTCAATCTAAAGGAAAGGCGTTCTGCCAAGAATCTTTTAATTTGATTTCCGTCAAACTTCATCAAATTCGAAACAAAATACCAGCTGTATGTGAGGGTTGAAGTAAAGTGAAAGAAATCCTTTTGTGGACAGGTGTTAAGAACGTTATGTGGTACAACAGCTTGTACACATTCACAAAGGTACTGCTTATTTCAAACGAAGAACTGTTGCAATCATTCTTTTCAACAGGCTTATTGTCATTGCCGAAAAGGACGTGGTTTACAACAAGTTTCCCATCCCTCTGATCAACCGCTTGGAGAAACACTTCCTTGTTATGTCATCTGGCCTC